AGCAGGGAGAAGGGGAGCAGGAAGGCGGGCTCGGAGAAGGAACAAGAGGCTGCAGGAGGGATCTGGGGCTGCAGGAGGGATCTGGGGCTGCAGGAGGGATCTGGGGCTGCAGGAGGGATCTGGGGCTGCAGAGCTGGATGTGCAGCAGGCAGGAGAAGCTGCCCCACACAAGCTGACCCTCCACCTGCAGAAACCCTGCCGCAGTCACACCAGGTTCTCCACACTGCTGTCAGCATCTTCTAATGACAAATCCTGACCGATGACTTAATCACCATTACTCCAATCCTTTCCCCTCAATCCTTTTACTGTTTAATCTCTTCTCTGACATCAAGGGATGGAGAAGATCCTGTACCTCTGCTGGGGCACCCTGAAAGCTGCACCCACTGAGCACCCAGAGCCAGGCTTGTGGTGCAGGTGTGCCAAGGCACAAGAGGAAAATGACTGGTGTTTCTCTGCACCTCAACCAGGGACAATGGCCCAGACTCCTGGGAGAAGGCAAAGCAGGATGCTGGGATGCACAGGGAGCACGGGGTATCTGCAGCCCTCACAGGCAGAGGGCTCCAAGGGCAGAACAGAACTAATGCTCTCCCAAGGACCAAAGTGGTTTGAAAACCTGGCTGGGAAGAGCAGGCTGGGTGATGAAGAGCTCGTGGCAGGGAAATCTGCCTGTCCCTGTCCCTGCCCTGGAACAGAGGTGACAGCTGCAGAGGGGAGACACCTCGAGCATCCCCCCCCGTTTGGCAGGAGGACACCAAACACGTGCCCCCACAGACCCCCATCCCCAGGCATCCAGGAGAGGTTTTTCCTGTCACCAGGCATTTGCAACCAGCTCATGTGTGCTGGGAACAGAGCGAGTCACAGGCTGGCAGAGGAAAAGTGAAGCAGGCAAATATCTGGTCCCAGGACTAATCCAGCCAGTGGAGCCAACAATCCTGACTCAGTTGATGGCTCGTGGTTAGCATAATTGATCCCCAGGATGCTAAAAGCCATGAAAATGAATCATGAGGGTCTGTGTCCTCCCTGAGACTGCAAAAATGCTTCCTCTGACTGCAAAAGAAAGCTCCCTCCAAGTAGACGTTGCCATGATGCCCCAGAAAATGCATCAGTAAACACAAATCCAGTGGATGAGTACTTGGAGTGCAGCCAGGAAACAGTCTGAGGCAGCGCCTGGCAGGCCTTCCCATCATTAGGAACCAGGAGAACCTCCTTAACAGACCCCAAATAAAACTTTATTACACTTGCTGTGTTGCTCAGCTGTTTGAAGCCTTCCTGAGACAGCCCTGAATAGAAAAACAGACTTCAAAGTCAGGGCAAAAGGACTATTTAAGTGCATTTTGCGTTCCCAGCAGAAGGTTTGGCAGCCGCTGTTCTCACAGACGTGAGCCCATCCTGGTTTCTAACCCAAGCAATGAGTAATTACTTCTTGAATAACAAGCAGTCGGCACACAAACCACCTCTCCGTGCTGGAGTGTCTGCAGGGTGGGGAGGGAAGGAGCAATGGCACATGTGGCCATAGCTCAGAATCGTTTTCCCACAGAAATCAGAGGAACCACCCACACAGGCTCTCCAGTTTTGTGATTCCCCCATTTCCTGCAGCCAGGAGTGCTCAGCCCCTCCTGCAGCACAGCCCCCCTGCCCAGCCAGTCTGCGAGCTCAGGAACTGGGATATACTGGGAGGCAGCTCAGGAGCTCGCCTATGGTTCTGGAAATCTTTTGCAGCAGAAATGTTCCCTCCTACAAGCTCAGGGGGGGTTTCCCCTACTTCCTCCCCCTCTACATTTCTCCTGCCTCCAACGCAGCGTGACAGGAGCGCGTGTTCCTGTGGGAACAATTGCACAGGATGCAGGAAACAGCGGCCTGAAGGGCCTTGGGGTACACAGAGAGCCAAGCTCTCTGCCCCAGCCCCCGCAGCTGTGCTGCACTGGCAGTGCCTCAGCCCAGCCTGGCTCTCCCCCACCCCAGCACTCTGCCTGCAGCCCTCCCTGCTCCTCCTGTGAGAGCTGCACCATCCCCAGCTCCTGCCAGCCCCGGGCACTCACGTCGTGAGCAGCGTGTTGGCTCCGCACGTACTCCCTTCACCCATGGCTCCTGCCAAGGAACCCAGCTCGTCCCCCACTCCTGCAGCTGTCCCCCAGCCCTCCCACTGCCCAAATCCTCCTTTTGGGCCAAAACTGTGCTGATCACCCCAGGAGAAGGCAGGCTGGCAGCCGCTGACCACACACAGCTCTGCCCCTCAGACCTTCACAGGCATCCCAGGAGATGCCTCGCTGCAGCATCCCAGAAAGGTGACCCCGAGGTCTCCCATTCCACCTCTGGCACCGTGCCCTGCAGCAGGGGACACCTCAGTCCCAGCATGAAAACGGGCACTGTCAGGAGCATGGCACACACAGCGACTCCAGGGTCCCAAGCACACAGCCAGCACAGGCATCCCGACCCCACCAACACAGCCTGGAAACCTGCTCCACATCCAGGTCAGCACCTGCAGGGGATGCTACAAAGTGAAAACAGAGATTTTTTACTTTCTAAAGAAAAACAGACAGGACAGTCTGGCACCGCAGTAATAGACACTTTGTGCCTCTGCATTATAATTGCTTCGCTTGTCTTCCTCGGGCTGAAATTAAACACAAACACTGACTTAAACAGCTTTCCAACATGCCATCCCTCAAAGGAATCGGGAACACTTGGCAGCGGTGCAAGGCAAAGGCTCGGCGTCCTCTCCATCCCGCAGGAGAAGCAGCAACAGCGATCCCTGTGCCAGACAACCCCTCTGCCCTCGATCCCTGTGCCAAACAACCCCTCTGCCCTCGATCCCTGTGCCAAACAACCCCTCTGCCCTCGATCCCTGTGCCAAACAACCCCTCTGCCCTCGATCCCTGTGCCAAACAACCCCTCTGCCCTCGATCCCTGTGCCAAACAACCCCTCTGCCCTCGATCCCTGTGCCAAACAACCCCTCTGCCCTCGATCCCTGTGCCAAACAACCCCTCTGCCCTCGATCCCTGTGCCAAACAACCCCTCTGCCCTCGATCCCTGTGCCAGACAACCCCTCTGCCCTCGATCCCTGTGCCAGACAACCCCTCTGCCCTCGATCCCTGTGCCAGACAACCCCTCTGCCCTCGATCCCTGTGCCAGACAACCCCTCTGCCCTCGGGCTCAGCCCAGGGCAGCGCTCACTGGGAGCTGCACTCTCCTGTCTCTGCACAGGATATCTGCCCCCCTACGCCCGGCTCAGCCCCACATGGCCAACCACTCTCTTCCTCTTTTGGCTTTCCGCTTGTGTTTAACAGCCGTTGATCTATTTTTAAATCTATTCTGTTAAGAATTAGCCTAGCGGCGAGCGATGCTGCTAACGCACCGGAAAACACGTGCCCTGCATCAGGGTAACGGCAGCGACAGCACTCCCAGCACTGATGGCTCTAGATCTGCTGCTTCTGCTCATTTCCTTCTGCAAAATACCTGCTGGGAGATGACTGGAGGTAACTTGAGCAAGGATGGGACAGAATTAATGCCACCATCTGAGATGGCAAGAGGAAACCGAGTGATCCTGAGTGGGCATAAACCCCCACTCCAGGGCTGAATTTTTGTGTCCTAGGACAGGGTTTAACACAGCCAGGTCATCTCCTGGCTTTGCATGGAGCAGCCAGCCCTGGAGTCACGGTTTCTGCCATTCCTCACCCTGCTTGTTCCCAAGGCAGGGTGAGACTGCAGCTGTACCACAGCCAGTGCCTGCTCCTCGCTGTGCCTCAAGGGCAGGGGAGCCACACCTGCCCTCAGCTCCAGCCCTGGCACTGCCCCACACACCCCAGAAGGGCAGCAGCTGTGCTGGGGTGTGTCCCTGTGCCCAGGGACTGCAGGGCAGCAGCTCTCCCGTGCCGAGCTGCCATTGCAGGGATCACCTCCATCCCACTGCTGCTCCCGAGGCTTCACAGCAGCCTTCAGAGGTGAGGCCCTAACACATGGGTTACATTGGCACGGTGGTGTGACACCCCAGGGTGCCTCTGCACACTGCAAACCCACCCACAGCTGGACAATCCTGCCTCTCCACCACTCCAGACAAACTGAAAAGGCACAGCCAGAGACACGGGCAGGGACGGGCTGGAGCCAGGCGTGGTGGCACCGCAGTTGGGCTCTGCCGGCTCCAACATCCCTCTCTCTGCCAGCCAGCACAGAAAAACAGCTTTTGCTGGAGATCATGCCCTCATCTCCAGAACACTGGGAGCTTTGTGTGCAGGAGCAGCCACTGCCTCGCTGCAGAGCAGGAGCTGCTCATCCCAGGACAAGGGGCACCGGCACACGGGAACGGTGACACCCTTGAGTCTGAAGCAATGTGCCTCCCTAAGCTGTGCTGTCCCTAGAAATGATCCTCCTGCCTGCCAGGAAAGCCTTTATCTCACCCCCTAAGTAAGGATGTCTCTATCATCCCTTCTTAAAAGGATTATTCCGAGAGCTGTGATTATTGGAATCGTGAAGCGAGCGCTCCCTCCATCACAGCAGACAAACACAAGTTTTCCACGAGGATGGATGAGCACCCAGATCCAACCCAACAGCAGAACAACAGGAGATGGAGAGCCACAGCATCCTGTTACTGCCATGGGCTGGGCTGGATCCAGGTCTGGACCCACAGTCTCTGAAACCAGCCCTGCAAACAGTTCCCAGCCGCTGCTGTGAGCATTCAAGGAAGGCACAACACATCACATACCAGGGTCTGCAGCAGTGAGGGGCAAGAGAGGGCAGAGAATGCTCAGGGCAGCCTGACCCACCACACAGTGCCCTGTGCCCTGGAGAGGCTGCTCTGCTGCAGATCACCCCGGGGCTCACCAGCACCCTGCCACTGCCCAGCCACCCTGCCCTGCCGAGAGCAGATGAGAGGGCCCTGCCCTGATAACCCCCAGTGCGTTGCTGCAGCAGTGCCAGAGCTTCAAAGCTTCCTCCCAGCAGCACAAAAACAGAGATAAACACCAAGAGCAACCATGGACACCAGCACAAACTCCTGAGGAGGAGGAGCCAGTGGGGAGCTGGTGCTCAGAAGGCCATGGGCTAATGGGGAGCCACGCTCAGGGGCACAGCAGCAGTGGGGGATGTATGGCTAAACCTGCAAAACAGCTCAGGAAAGGAAACCCCATGCAGTTAAGCAGATCCCCTGTAATTTCTCAAAAAATGGAGTTTAGTGGCATGGAGCTTTTGCATCTCTAACAGCAGCTACACAGTGTGGACACCTGGCACCCAACCCCAAGGAAATGAAACCCCTACCACTGACCAGCCTGGGGGACACAAACCTGGCAACTCGCCACTCCTGTACGAGGCAGGGGTGAGTGACACATGAGAAAGGTCCCACCAGCCAGCAGCAGTCAGGGCAGCCCCCAGGCCGCAGAGGAAGTACCAAAGGAACATTTAACTGATAAAGTAATTCAACAGCATCCCCAGATTCCTCTCAACCCATCACAGCTCTTTGTGGAGCACCCAACCCAGCCCTGGCATTTGAACTGTCCAGGCCATTAACCACCAGAAGAGTGCCAGGCGTTACTCAAAGTCAGAGAATTTTTCTCCTTGACCCCACCCTGCCTTTTTGCCGATGGAGCAGAGCTCCAGGAGCAGAAGGTGCACAATGACCTTTACCTTGGGTCCCGGACTCTGGCGATCCCGGTGGCTCGCAGAACTCCTTGAGTGGCGAGCAGCTTGGTGTTTCTGCTTCAGGGGTCTCAAAATTATCAGTGGAGTCCGAGCTGCCGAGGGGGGGAAAAGAGTGAGGAATTACTGCTTTCAAGGCTACCTCTGAAATCCTCCACGACGCCCACACGTCCAGCCAGGCCACAGGCTGGCCGCGGGCATCCGGGGCGGCCTCTCGCTCCTGTCCAGCGGGACACGCTAGCAGACGGAAAAGGGAGAGCAGGTGAAACATCATCGTCAGCAGCCCCTGAGCATCCCCAGCCCTGCGGGAGGGCTTCTCGCCAGCTCGTTCCCGAGCTGAGCACACAGCACGGGCCTCCAAGGACACGCAGCCCCGCAGCATCTCCCACGCCGCTCCGGAGGCTGCCGCGGAAAGCGAGCGGGGCTGCCGCGGCCCCGAGCTCCCGAGCATCCTCCGGGAAGCGGCTCCGGCCCCCCAAGCGCGGTGCGGGACCCCGGCAGCCAGGCAGCGAGCGAGGGGCGGATGGGGAGAGCGGCCAGGGCAATGGGCCGCGGGTGACTTGCCTGAAGCCGAGGCCCGAAACCCCCGCCGGCGGGTCCCGGTCCTCCTCCTCATCATCACCATCATCCTCCTCGGCGGCACCGGCCCCGCCGTCTCCCTCCTCGGGGCTGCCCCCGCCCCGCACCGCCGACCAGGTCCAGCGGGCCCACTGCACCGGCGAGAGGATCTGCCAGGCGCTGAACGCCATGGGCGCCGCCGCTGCCCGCCGGGCTCACTGCGGCCGAGCCGCCGCCCCCATCGCGCCCCGCTCCGCTCCGCTCCGCTCGGGCCGCCCCCGCACCGCGCTGCTGGGCGGGGAGCGCCCGCCCCCGGCACCGCCCGCCGGGACCGCCCCGGCACCGCACCCACAGCACCCACAGCACCCCCAGCTCCCACAGCTCCCACAGCACCCCCAGCTCCCACAGCACCCACAGCTCCCACAGCACCCCCCGCGCCCCC